AATAAAAAATTTATATCTTTATGTTTGAAGCCTGAAATGTGGCAAAAGGTTGAAAAGTTCAAGGGGGCCGAATACTTTCGCAAGGCACTGTATTTGAGAGCTATTTCAAAATCTTCTTTTTGTTTACTGCTGTACAAGTTGAATTGAACCTTGGCAGGCTTCTTCAACAACCTATGATTTGTAAAGTATGCTTCTAAAATATAGCTATGTTTATTTTTAAACTTTCAGTTGATCAAAAAACATTTTGAAAAACATGGCATGAAAACAGCTCCTGATCAAAGGTATTTGAGGAGAATTTAAAAAAAAATTATAGTTTTGATATTTTAGATTTTAGTGTATAAAGTGTATAATTCGAGCATGAATAATAAAATATTTATCCAAAGCACTACATACTGTACAGTACCATACTCTTCTATAAAACAAGTGGATTTTAATTTAATTACTTACATGTGTTTTCATGTTAGACTCATTATACAGTAAATATAAAACAGACACAAATATAAAACAGACACACAAATACAGAGTTGTATTTTTGCTAGAAAAAATATTCCTTAGTAATTCTGGCATTAGGCTTTGCTGTGTAGAACAGTAGTAGGCCCTGATAAGATACAGGAAGCAAGGGATTTCTATATATCACTGTCAGATGAGGCCTGTGATTTATGTAATCAGTGCTGTATGTACAGCAGTGCCATTTGTACTTGTTATACTGTAGTACTTCCAGCTATCTAGAAGACATGGAAAGAATAGATTAGTCTATGGAAGCCATTTGAAGCAAAAGGTCTGTGCTAATCATGGGAGCTCATTATAACTCTGTTTGTCAATGCACTGAAGCATACACCTTAAAGACAAGTTTTATTATGTAAGTTTTAATGTTTCCCGGCCACCACATTTGTCTCTTTTAGGAAAATCTAACATAGCCAGTGACACAGGAAAAAAAAACAAACAATTGCAATTAACCAATAAAATAATTCCTGCAGTGTATTTTAGCATTTATCTGTGAAAACCAAGTGACCAAACAGACGATATTGAACATTTGTTATTGAAACCAGGACCAGAAGAGAAAAGATGTGTAAGAATGACATGAAATGTGCTTCTTTCAAAGCAAGGTCACTGTGAAAGAAAAACTGCCATCAATTCATTTGGAAATCCATCTGTGCTCCCCATTGTTATTTCTTTATAACAGGAAGAATAAAGCAGGATGGTAATGGACTCTAATTCTATTTTGGAGGAGCTGGTGACATTGATACACCTTCAGTTTGATTTATCTTATCACCAGAAGCCCTTGATGGAATTAAAGCCGGTTTATGTACAGTTGTGTTTACATTGCATTTTCTATTTGTGCACCCCGGCTGCCTCTGATTGTGTTAAGAGCAGTTGTCGTGGCCCTGCCAGGGTGACAGAGCTGTAGAAAAGGCAATAGGGAAGCGCCTGCAATATGATTAGCTGGGAACACATCTGACCACATATTGCAAGTGTCGTCCTGAGGACAGCGAAGGAGAGCCTCTGCTCTCCTGGTTAGAGATGTTGCGGCCTTATGATTCATTTAATCAAAATATTGCATATGCTTGTGTTTAACTTCTTGCTCAATGTTGCATTGATTTGCAACGCTTTAGTCACCACCAGCTTGTTTCTTCTTATACACTAACACTTATCTTTCACCTTATCCTGGACTCCCCACAACACTGCTATACTACATACTCCAGTATGTACAATACTGCATACTGTATATACTGCATATTAATAATGTTACATACTTTAGCACATACACATATATACTACATAATAATAACACTACATTCCCCGGTTTATACAGTACTACTACATATATACTGCATAATAATGCTATATACTCCAGTACATACAATACTGCTACATGCTACGTACATACTTATAATACTACTTAGTCTGCTTTTGAAATATCTGGCACATGTATTGATATAAATGTCACTTGTATTGCACTTCGCACTGTACACACAAGAAAGCTGTTGTATCAATAAATAGGGATGCGTCAATAAGATTATTCTGGATGACGAATCATACTGTCAATACAGGGTGTATCAGGGATATCAAATGTAAACAGGAGGCAGCAGAGACAATTGTGGAATGAAGAATGATGGATTGGTGGAATTCACTATTGTCCACAGCTCATTTATGTTTGGTCTTGTCCATAGATTTCTCATGCGTCGTTAGTCATATTAATGTTTGTAACAATAAGACTGTTACTGTGTGTTTTTTAAATATATAGTCCACTTTGTGAAACTATCTTATGATGTATGCCCACTAAAACATAAACTGTAAATCATTTTTACACTATTTTGCAGTCATCCTTCCCTCCATTTTTAATCTGCTTCTGCTGGTGACAACCAAAGCACTATTTCGTTCATTTAGTAATAAAATACATTATCATAAAGATATCCAAATGTCTGCTTATACTTGTTTTGACACATGTAAATGTCCTTTTTACAATTTTCTTGTTATCTATACATTCTTCTACATTAGTGTCAGATCTTCAGGCCCCCCCAAGCATTAAATTGAGATCAATGTCTTTTTGAAGTATAAAAAGAGTGTTTCTAGAGGTAGCAATTTTTACTTTATAAACTTGTGGTTACTGTGAGGAGCAGCCTAATTGGATTGTGAGACTGGCTAGATTGTGGGAAACTGCTTCATGTGTTAATTCAATAATCTTTTAATCACAATTGCAGATTGGCGCAGAAATTATTGCTGTGGGCTCGGGGATGACAATATTTATGAAGGCATGTCAGAATCAATTTAGGTTTTGATTGCATTTTACAGTACAACACTGCTAGAGAGGTTTCTTGAGTTTGATTTAATAAAAAAGAAGAACTATAAGCAAGATTCCACAACATTTTAAAACTGTTCATCTAAGGTGGATACCTGAGCACAAAAAAATCACATGCTGGACAAAATTGGAATATCTTGGTAACAGCACTCATTCATGCTGAATGCATTACAAAATGGGTGTTCAATACATAGAATAAAAAGGAGTGTGATTATTTATATGTTCTGATTTTGTTCTGTGTGAAGGTGGATTGTGTAGTGCTATGAAACATCGTTCTCCTTTAATTTGGTTAATTGTCTTGCTTTGCATCACAGCATTTGAAACAAATCTCACAAAAGTGATTTTCTGCCCTTAGGATTTAGTTGTTTTTTTGTAATACAGCAGTGAAATGACTTATTCCCTTCATTCCTCTCTGCTCCGGAGCAGCAAAGCCCAGCATGTGGCAATGTCAGCCTGCAACACCAGCTGTTGAAAGTCATCGTACGGATCCTGCAGTATCGGATGCTCCTCACGGGTCAGTATGCGGTTGTTCTCTTGTGTCCTGTGCAGTGAGACTTATGGAAATGTTGTGTTCCTACTGCAGCTGTAAAAAATCCAGATTTGGTTTGAATAGATGTGGCTACATGTCCGGCATCACAGAGCAGAGAATTGGGCTGTGTCAGTAGCCAGCTTTGAAAAGGATTAACTAGACCAGGGATCACGAAAAGTCAGTGACACCAGACTTGGGATGGGTTTGAATGGGCTAGGGTGCACATCGTTCTCTGAGCAGCAGTGGCCTCTGTGCCTGCAGTGAGAGGGTGCTGTGGAAAAAGGTGGATGAATTGGCAAATATTTAGTATTTACCATTGTTCGTTTATGGAGAAGGCAACATGAAGGCACAGTGTTTAGCAGTGCTGCCTTTCAGCACCGGGGCCCTGGGTTCATCTGGGACCTGGGGTGCTATCTGCTATCTGGAGTCTGTATGTTCTCTCAGTGTTCCCATGGGTTTCCTTCATGTGCTCCGGTTTCCCCACACAGTCCAAAGACACGCTGGTAAATGAATTGGCTCTGGAAAAATTGGCCCTGCTGTGAGTGTGTGCATGTTTGTGTCTGTGCGTCTTCCCCGTGAATTACTGACATCCCAACCAGGGTGTATTGTCTCCCTTGCATCCATTGCTTGCCAGGATAGGCTCTGGCTCCCCTGTAACCCTGAATTTCTCATTGTCTTCTGGAGTTGAGGTTTTAACCCATGTCTTTTTTTTTCAGATTACTTAAACAACCTGTCTCCAGATTCGGCCGAGTACGAAGACACACAAGGTACTTGTGCCTCCTTATCACTAAAGGGCCTGCATGAAATCTTTCAGTTTTCTCCCCACAGGCACAGCACCAGTGTCTTCTTTTGCCATTGGTGCCAGCTGACTGTTTTCAATCACTGACTGTTCAATTGTTTAGGTAATAAACAGACATGGGTACTTTTTTTAAGAAGTAATATTAGATTTGTTACATGAAGTTTGTCAACATTTAAACCCATCTTTGTGCGTGTATTAGGAATAGGTCCCAATACAGTGAGGGCGTGTCTCTGTTATTTCGAAGATCCTCTTGGATACATGTATATTATTAACATGCCCTGCTTTTATCCCCCCTGTTTTTTTTACCAGCTGCCTTGGTTATTGTCTCAGAAGTTGCAGACAGAGCCAATGACAGCATGAGGAAAGGGGTGAGTCTCCACTGTTCTGTCATTTGTTTCCATGTTACCCTGCAGTGAAGAAACTAGCGATTGTTCCCCGTTCAACAATCAGTGTCCTGCTAAGCTCGGAGTGGTTGTCAAAGTGTGATGGAAGTGGCTACTATGTAATTAAATTTCCCAGCTGTCTTCTAGATTTAATGATTTTAGACAGTTATTGTCTTTTAACACAGCGTATCTAAAAAAATAGAATTAAGAAGTCTCTTGGAGAGAATATCTTTCCTGGGTTTATAATTGCTTTACTGTTGTGTATGTGGCCTATAATAAGCTTCACTTCTTTAACATGCCACATGTTGATAAGTGCCGTAGGCAGAACGGAATGATGTAATTAAGAATCCCCAGGTGCTTAATAACAAAGACTGTAGTGTGAGGAGACAATATTTTTCCACAGTCTCCCACATCCCCCCTCATTCCCCTTACTATCTCTTACTCCCACATGCACACCAACTCCCTCTGTCTTTCTCACACAAATTTGCACTCAATTCCCAGAAGCTTTCCCTTTCTTTCCTGGTCTCTTACTCACACAAATAATGTTGCTCTCTTTTCTCTCTCTCAGGAGAACTTGCTACGCCTGGTCCACATTGAATACAGTGTTAGAGGCCAAAAGGACTTGCTTCAACCGGGAAGGGTGAGCACTGCACTCACTGATAAGGACATTGTTTTTGAGCAGTTTTTGCTGTAAACATTCCAGGGCCGTCACATTTTATGTAATTAAAATACTCCATGCCCCTCCTGGGTATCAACAGACTTTCTTTTAAAGAGGCAGAAAGACCACCTGGAATCCTCAGTTCGTCAGACTGCCTGCAGGTGCTAATATTGGGAATTGCTGACAAGAATGTACTGTGCTCACAGTTTCATCAATCCAATATTGCTGTCCAACACATTATCTCACAGAAATCCTACACAGAGGTTTTCTGAGAGTTCGATGTGTTTTGAGAAAATACAGTTAACACACTTTGTTGGCTTCTTCAGGTGGTAAGCTCACAGAATACTCTATAAATAATGATCAGGAAGCAATCAAAACTTCTTTTTAAAACAAATACTTTTCCTCATGAATCTTGGAGAGCGTTTTTAAGCAGATCTTCAAAGCCCTGATTACCTTTTTAGAGTAGTGATTTTAGAGGTGAACATAATTAGAAAATGTGACTAACAAGATGTTCCAATTAAAAATCCATCATGTAAATCAATGAAGAACAACACATGAATGTGTACCTAATCTTGGTTTACCCTGCTCTCTCTTTCGTTTTTTTCAAAACAAGCTCAGCAAAATGTAGCACAAGCTTAGGAAGGCTTGTTTGAGAATGAAGGGTTCTGTTGAGCTACTGGGGAAGTCATTTCAGAAATTCAGTTCCATGTTTTTCATTAGTATATAAGTAACAGTTACACAATACATGCTTGATAGAAATAAATGAAATAAAAATAATTTTATGGAACAATGGAACTTTTATGGAGTTCTTTTCCCAGAAAATATGTGTGAAACACCTAGAGTGACAAATAACATATTCTAATAATTATCAACAGTTACCACCAAATACATATCACAAACATTTCGAAACCAGTTGGTTGTGTCCCTGCATTTAGACTCTGTTAGGTGTAATTGCTTGTATGTTCACATATTCTCTCATATCCTCATGTACATTTGTTGATGGGATCTTTAGGTTTTTGTCAAAGAAGGGACCTTGATGAAGGTTTCCAGAAGAAACAGACAGCCTCGTCACCTGTTCTTGGTAAGTTGTTTTCGTTGGAACTGAAATTACTGTACGCAACAGATTGGTGAAAGGTGTTAACTATGCTATTCAATGAATGTGTATTGTTATATTATTATAAGGAATCATATTGCTAATATGGATAACGATGGCAACAGTAGTAGAAATTGTTGGATCCGAGGGGTGGTACGGTCCTGGGGCCGTGGGATCAGTTCCTGGGGTGCTGTCTGTTCTCCTGTGGAGTTTGTGTGTTTTTCCCATATTGTCATGGGTTTCCTTTGGTTGCTCTGGTTTTCTCCCACAGTCCATACTTGTAGGTTAATAGGCCCTGGTTTAAGTGTTTGTTTGTCTGTGTGTTTGCCCGGCGATTGACTGGTGTCCTCTCCAGAGTGTTCCCAGCCTTGCGCTTGGAGCTTGCCAAGATAAGCTCTGGGCTCCCCATTACCCTGAATTGGATAATGCTGTTAGAAAATGGAATGATATTATTATGACTCATAATGATAATATGAATGTTTATGACAACAACAGTAGTGCATCTGATTTAGTTGGGTTGGGGAGAAGAGAATTGAATATCTTGGGAGAATTCTGAATTTCTTTCTTAGTGTTGCTTAAAGGAATATTTGTTCCTCACATACCAAAACTGTGCAGTAAAAAAATTAAGTAAGCCTACACCTTAATTATTTGCTGTTCTCCAAAAACTCCTTCCTCACTTTCCTAAATCTGGAAAGCTGTGACTATCACTCTAACACATGCCTTCACATATAAATGTCTAAACCATTGAATTAAATTTCATCTTCTCTTCTGGCTAATGTTGTTATATTATAGCTTGAGCTGATATAATGAGGCAGGCTGGCCTGTTTTCCCTCTGGGTTTTTCTGGCATGCATTTAGGATGCACATAACACATTGGGCGTAAAGAATATAAAAAGAACTGCAATATAGCCAGTTTAATGGTAGGTAAGCTAAGTAAATAGAGCTGGTGCTGTTGTCATCCATCAAAACACATCTTTTATACAATACCACACTACCTTTATACACCACCCCCACCCTAACTATACAGTTATGTTAATTCTGTATTAATTGTAAGTGTTCCTTGGGTTCCAACTCTTAACATCTACAGTACTGCTGAAGGTGGAGCATATTATTTCCTTTACAAGTCTGTTCCCTGGAACTCTGCAACAATAAATGGAGTGAAATAACAGGGATAGAAACTGTGTCATTATCTTTAAAGGAAAGCAAGGACATCAGGTCTCTCCACCCCAAACAGGGCTCTTCTGACCAATGGTGTTATTGAGAGCTGCGTTTCCTGACAGGATGTTTGGTGTGGGTTACTGAATGCCGGTTTCCTGTCCAGGGACCTTATTGACAAGAATGTGAGAGCCAGACTTTCTAGAATAGTGTTTAAAGGCCTGGAAAAGCAGCAAACCCTGTTTGGGGGGTGGGGAAATACCACTTGATTGTGATGTGTATTTCTGTTTTTCCAAACTTATATACAGTACCTATTATTAAAGACAACATTTTTTTTTCCTCCTCACAATTAATAAATCTCAAATTGAGATAGGTTTAACTAAGTTAAATATTAAGATTCAAACTGTTACTAGTTCAAAATTATTAACCTCATTTTGTTAATGTTGCTAATATTTATTATTACATGCATGTATAAAGCAGTGTAATGGACAGAAATATAGACAATAAGTCCCAGCCAAAAAAAGAGGGAATATTTTCAAAACAAATCCTACCTTTTTAATTCTCTTAAGATATTTCGTAGAACAGTTTATGTCAGAGGCCAAATAGCTTGTTATTTTTCATTCTTGATCACAAATGGTTGAAATTCCCCATCTAAGATTTAAAAAAGTAATTTATTTGTGTATGTTTTTTATTGCTGTATATTAATCAGTGTATTGCATACCATATTTTGCCCACTGACACCTGTTCTGAAGTTGTCTAGACTCAAGCGTTAGAAGGTAAGATGTTCTGTTAATTATGCCAGGGTAAATCTTTTACTTAGCTGGCATCACATGACTGCCCATGACAGCTCATAAATGCATGGAAAATCAGTTTAGGAAAGAAGAGGATGACTTTGTCTTTTTTTTTTACATTTCCTGGTGTTGCTGGGAGGTTGTGTTTTGGTTATTGTAGACATAGCATGTAAGAAAGTTTTCAACACAGTTTTCAACATTGTTGCCGGAAAAAGTAGTTTGACATAACATACTAACATTTCTAAAGCCTGTTTAAGAATTCTTTTTTTGTTTTATTTAAATTTCTACATGGTGCTGGAAAATATGATCTGAGAATGTTTGTAGGCATTTTCAGTACCTCAGTGTTTAAATAATTTAACTACATCCAAAGCTGACAATCTTGTCCTCACAATTTAACTTGTGACAACATTTGTGATGAAATGTTGTAAAAATATAATATATGAAGTTTTGCAGTGTTGTCACTAAACATTTTGTAGTACATCATTCCTACGAAATTTATATAAATTAATTCTGACAAGACTTTCATACTACCAGATGGTGACATTACTATTCAACACCATGGTATCACACCAACAAAACTGAATTTCTGTTGTGACATCAGGAAGATGTGACGGTTTAGCAGTGCAATTATGTAGACATTAAGGTATACTGTCAACTGTCAGTGCGGCCTCCAAATGATGTGAACTGCAAATCGATAACCAGACTTAAATACTCTAATATCTAATAGTGCCACAGTCCATGAACATACTATACTGGTTAGCATTTTGTCTCCAAGATTCGCCCTGCTGTGTTGTCTACATGATGTGAACAGCAGGGAGCTGCAGAGTTTGCATTTATCACACTGCAAAACAAATAAAGATGGCGCACTAACCTGCCTTAAAACCTTCCCTAAAAATGTCTGTGATAGATTCGTCTGTATTTCTTGGGTGTCTAAATGGGCTTTGATGGATGTACCCATCGGCAAAGATATGAGTGATGTGATGGAGTTGTGAATTCTAATGTTATAGGGGTGGCAGGATGGCCAGTGTTCTTTTCAGATTAATGCATTAGAGGGCAGGGTAATTTATGAAGCAATAAGTAAACTGAGTAAAGACACTTGACAAGTCGTTTGTCATTTGCTGGCATTGAAAGTCCTTTCTTTGCTGTTTTCAACATACCTTTTAACAATCTGTCTTTTTTGAGAACGGAAAGGATAACCTGAAAAAGGGAGTAGGGAAAGAGGCAGAGAATAACAATTTTATTTTTATCTCTGTTTTCTGTGATAGCAAGTTTTATCAATCCTTCACTCCTCTATGAGAAACATGGTGCTGAAGAGGTTAGCACTGCTCTCACTGTGAGACCATTCACTTGGGGTTCAAGTCCAGCCACCTATCTGTTTGGAGTTTACAAAAGAGCGTTTTCCCCTTTATTTGCTTGAGTTTTCATTATCTGGTTTCTTCCTATTTCCCATAGACATGCAGGGCAGGTGTGCCATCTTTTAAAATGTCCATCTCAGGGATCAAAACCTTTTCCTCATAAGGAAAGGAGCTAGGCACACCATCCCTACTGTCATCTCATTATTCCATCCTTTCAAGTTTGACTCTCGTGCCTTTCTTGGAATTGAGAGATATTGAGGAATTGGGAGGTACCTCTCTTAGATTGAATAAAGACTCAATTAGGTACGTTTGGGTGGACATTTTACCCCTAAGTCTGTAGACAACAGAGCCTTTTCCAATAACATTTTACAGAAAGAAAATATAAAGTACAGTATTTTAAATGTTAGGAAAAAATTAGGCCTTCACGAGAATTTGCTTCTTGACAAATATCTGGGTCATATATTCAATACATGTTCCCTTTCCCTTGCTAAAGATTTCATCATCACACAATTGATTTACTTGCCTTGTGGAGGTTTACCCTAATGGATTTATCATGCCATTTTCCACCTTTTCAGCGATTTTACCCTACTTTTCCTTGAAGTTTGATTTTAACAAATGCATGTATCTATCCCTCTGTCCCTTGAAATAAAAATAAAGTATTTCTTACTATTAATGAAGGCTTCATTAAGAGTAAGAACTTGTTAAAAAGAAAGTGTTCTAGTACTCCAAGATATACATTTATCCCCTTTGGAAATATATAGACCATATGTAAGTTACTTCTGATCCACTGATAAGTCATTAAGTGATAAAACAACATAATTATAATAAGCTGTCAGATATGTTGGCTACTGAGTCCAAGGCAAGACATAATAGTTATTATTAGTTCGCATTGTGTAAGCAAAATTCAATGGCAATCTCCCAAACAAACACAAAGTTAAAATGTATTCACTCCCACTTTAACAATAAAATGTAAACAAATATTGGGGGTGTTATTGTAGAGAAATAGACTTTCGAACTTTGTGAAGAACCAGCAATGACAGAGCCCATTATTTCTTTAACCCATTTCTTAGTCTGCCTGTTCAGATGGAAATTACTGATGCTTACTGTACTTTATAATTGAAATTGGAAAATGTTTCCCCCCCTCGGTGTGTTTTCCAAACTTTTACTGACATCTAGTGGCAGAATACCTTCATTAATCACAAACCGATTCTTTACTTAGGTAAGATTCTTTTCCTCTCCTGTACTTTATTCTTGCAAGCGTGTTTGTAAAAAAAATTGCTTTTTGTATTTTTTGTTTTAATAGATGAATGATGTTATGCTGTATACCTACCCACAGCAGGATGGGAAGTACAGGCTGAAAAACACCCTTTCTTTGACTGAAATGAAGGTGAGCTGATAAAATATAAAGCAAAATGAGCTTTCAATCAGAGATATAGAAAACTTTATGATAGGAGAGTATAAAACTTATAGCTTTTATTTGGTAGTTTTGCTGTACCTAACTGTAATATTATTTTTATATTATCAAGCTTTTCCATAGAGGTCTTTTACAATATATTTGAATCCAGGGGCTTAGGCTTCATAGCTGCCAATTGAGTAGACTTTATTAAGACCATTTAAACTCTAGGATCATTTATTTTCTGCTGCAAAGGGTAGGACTGTCTCTCAGGTTCAGTACTGTCCAGTCATTCCAAACTCGCTGGACTAAGAAAGTCAACAACTTGTTTAGCATTCAACCAAGAATTCACAAGCTTCCATGTATTTCTAATACTTTTTTTCTAACTGTTGGGTTTTCTGCCCCTTTACCTTTCTACCCTTGTCTACAAGTAATGTTCATATACTTATATGTGATGACAACAAGCTGTGCATGGGACTTTGGATTTTGGTGCATGGATTTTACTATTTTATGTATCTCACGTCTCACTCAGCTCCTTGTGCTGTTTTATGAGCGGTTTCCTGTATCACTGAGCAAAATGACCTCTCTAATATATCTCTCTCTATGACTAAATTGTTCTTTTATACTGTAATTGCATCACAATATTTAGCCAATATTTCAATGGAAGAGTTTTGGTGGACATTTTGTTTCAGACAAGTGATTAGTGTTTATTGTCTTTAATTAAAACATACTGTATGTAAAACCTGGACCTACAAAAGAGCTGTGGACTCAGAATGCCATTTTGCGTTTCAGGTCAGCAAACCCATAATAGAGAATGTGCACAACGCCCTGAAGATTGAAAACAACAATTGTTCTATCACATTGTCAGCAAGGTAGGTTCTCACAATACTTTCTCTGAGACACTACATGGTCAATGGAAATGATTTCCTCTGGTACAGATCTGAGAAATTCACAAATCTAAAGGGATTTAAAGCTCTGGGCCTACTGTACTTTGGTTTCCAACTGAAATACTTTATACTGTATCTAGGCTTGAAAAGAAAAGAGCTATTTTCAGGTGTAGCTTATATACTGTATATCAGCTTCACTTCCATTATTAAAATTTTGATTTTCAAATGATATTTATGTATATTCTACGGAATATTGTTTGTCCTAAAACAAGCAATGCCAGCAGAGCTAATGAAGGCACAGCATAGTAGTGACATGAGGATTCATAATCCTAATGGGATAGCCATGTGATTGAGTCCCTTCTGTTTATGCTGATGTACTGTATGTACCCTTGAGCAAGGTGCCATACTGTTCTAGCGCCAGTCCACCCAGCAGTATGAATATGTATGAGCAAAACTGGGTTCAAGCATTATGAAAATGCCTCCATCCTCAATCCCAAAACAGGGACTGCTTTTAGAAGAAACAGCACAGAAGAAAATTTGGCTATGGAGTGATGTGTTAATAGTAAAATCCGTTAGTCTTTGCCTCACTTCAATACGCACACAAGACTGAGTTTAAATGCTTCTAAATGCTTGTGCATTTGCTGATTCTTTTTACAATTTAGGGGATCATTACCTTTTATGCCTGAAAGCTACAAACAGTTTTTTTTCTGAGACTGTAGACTCAGGCCGGCAGGCTCCAATAGATTATTTGTATGACTGCTACCATATTTTTCCCATGCTAAAATACGTCTATCTAAAATGATGTTATAACCATGAAAAGTCATACTCCTAATGTTTAACATTTTGGTCTTTCTCATGCTAATTTGAGTCTTATTTTTGTACTTATTTAATCTTATATAATCCCAATTTAGCAGGAAAAACAGTCATCATATTTAAAGTCCTTTAATTCCGATGTCTGTGTATGCTGCATTACAGTTCTTGTGGTGAAAGAGAAGACTGGTACCATGCTTTGAGCCGAGCGATTTCAGACCACTCCAAAGGTCAGGGCACTTTCTCAAGCTCAAACAGCTGCGAGGTGAGTATGTGTTCTTATGCACTCAAGAGATAACCTGCCTGTTAAATCTGTGACATTTAGTCTTACATTTGCTCGTAGTGTCAGCACATTGATTTGACTTGAGTTAAAAGCATACAGTGTTGCATGGTGTTCAGTGTCATTGTCCCTCTGAGACAAGATTTCTTTCCAGGCCAGAGAGAAGCTATGGATGTCTTTAGGTGAGAAAGCTCCCACCCTGGTGCCTGTGTCGCATGTGATGATGTGCATGAATTGTGCCTCTGATTTCTCCCTCACACTGCGGCGACATCACTGCCATGCCTGTGGAAAGGTCAGTGTCCACCTCAGACATGGGGAGCCTGGTGCCATTGTAACTTCAGAGAAACAAAACCTATATCCTCAGGCTTTTTCATACCTCAGTTTTTCATCTCACATTTGCTTTGAGCATTTAGCACTCTGCCATGATCTACACTAAGTGTCATGTGCCAGGTGTTAGCCTAGATGTGAACTTTTGTCTAAGTTTTTTTTTGTGCTACTCTGTACTACTCCTGCAGTGTTTGTTAAGTCTCCTTCTTTGGGTATGATCTACTGGCATGCTATAACAAAGGATTAGCATTAGGAGTTGTTCTCAAAGTCAACACAGAGATTACCCATCTGCTGTACATTTTCCATCATACCTCATGGCGTTGACGTACCTAGATTTTACAGGATCAAAAGCATCGCTATTCCCTCCTTGGGTGGTAGAGTTGATACAGTGTTGAAAACTGGAGAAGTGTTTTGGATTTACACAGTACCTTGCAAACTTTGAAATTTAATGGCTTCAGTGAGCAATTGGATAAAATGTTTTGCTAGCTGATAATATCATCTATTAAAACAAGGCATTTCAAATATTTCTGATTGTTTGTTATTTGTTTGAGATTCTCTAGTTCAGAAGAAATTAGTAAGAGCTGACTGGCACTAAACAATAAAACTAAATTCAGTCTCCAAACAGGACAGTACATCTGGGGCTCTCCTGCATCCAGTCCTTGGTTAAATAACATTGAGCCCAGCACTAAATAAAAGGCATGAAAGGCCAAAAGCTGCTTGTGCAAGAGTCTCAGTCTCAATTCCTGAACAGCCTAGTGTTTTCTGGATTTTATTTCACCCCTGTTCAGAGTTACATAGTTAGTCTAAATATTTTTATCAGCTGCATAATTGTTATACTTCTAATCAGGCACTGAGGAGAATTATAGGTAACAGTAACTTTAATGAA